CAAATCGCGCTCTCGCGCGGGACCTTCCATTATTTATTCAGAAGTCGCGCTCTAGCCTGGGATTTCCTTCCACTTTATTTCGACGCCGTGCCCTCGACATTCAGGAGTCACGCTCTCGTTTTGGATCTCCTCGCGATTGATTTGGGAATCGAGCTGTCGCTCGAGACTTCCTCGCGACTCATGCAGGACGCACGCTTCAGCAACCCGCCTGCTCGATCTGGCCGCCTGGGCCCTCCTTGCCGACCCGCCTGGTAGGGTCTACCTCCCGATCTGTCCGTCTGGTTCTGCCACGTGTTATTAGCCACCCTCCACCTATTCTCGTTCTTTTGCTCCATCCTCTTTCCCTGCCTCAGGGGCTGCACGAAATACACGTTACAGGTGAAAAAGATAACCCCCAGGGGGGTACGGTCATAGACGAAGAGGTTAATTTATTGCTATTATTATTGTTGTTGCTGTTTCTGTTGTGGCTGCAATTGTTGTTCTTGCTGCTGTCGCTGTTGCTGCTGCTGTTGTTGTTGCTGCTGTTGTGGTTTGTTATTTGTTGTCCGTTGTTTGTTGTGTGTTGTGCATTGTTTGCTGTTTGTTGTTTATAGTTGTTGCTGCTGCTGTTATTGTTATTGTTGTTGTTGAACATTATTAATTCTAAAGAATAATTATTGTTGGGACCCCTGGTGCACGGCCCCCCTGCGCCGCCTAGGCCGCAGCTACATTTTCATCATTTTCGTGAGGAAGCCTCAGGTAATTCGATGTGATCAAGATCCGGTTGTTTTGTTGTAATCCGCTTTCCCTTGCAAAAAACACTATAAAATGACATTTCTTGTTCTAATATAATCAAATTTCAAGAATCCCTTGCAAAAAATAAGGTAAAGTGGACATTCGCGCGCGCAAGACGAAATCCTTCCAAAAGCTTAGTGTTCGGAGCGATTTTAACATAAAAACATCAAAAAACCAATGGTTTTTCAACAACAAAATGTCAAAATCTCATCCCGCGCGCTCTTGCGGATTCGTAGGAAACCCAACACTTTTTAAACATTTCTGTCAAACGGGCTTTTGCGAGCAACTTTTTCGAACTTCTGCGACAACGGTTGCGCACCTGCCAGGGCCATCATCCCTGTCAAATAATACCATGCGGGACACATTCGTTTTTTCTTCGCGCGCGCACGCCGAAATCTCCAAAAACCATGTGTATCATGTGTATCATGTACCATATGCATCATATGCAACAGATGTTCTGTGGAAGGCTTAACAACTTCTGTGGGTTAACAAGGCTTAACAACTTCTGTGGGTGTACGAACGTAGGCTTAACAACTTCTGTGGGTGTGTACTCCACGCCAGTGTAGTAGCCACGGTCGTCCGCAGGCCACGAAGTGAAGTGTCCGAACGTCATAGGGCGGGAAGCTGGGTGTGGGTGGTGGCGAAGAGTCGTGTGGATATTTGGTAGAGCTTGCACTGCCCCCCCACAAAGTGGGGGTATTGGCTGGCGTCGCATGAAAACCCTGGCACTGGTGAGAACACTGAGCGTTCGGGTAAAGTGATTGTTGTTGTTGTTGTTGTTGTTGTTGTTGTTGTTGTTTGTTGTTGTTGTTGTTGTTGTGTTGTTGTTGTTGTTGTTGTGTTGTTGTGTGTTTGTTTTTAATTTTGTTGTTGTTGCTGTTGTTGTTATTGTTGAACATTATTTATTCTAAAGAATAATTATTGTTGGGCCCCCTGGTGCGCGCCCCCCCTGCGCCGCCTAGGCCGCAGCTACATTTTCATCATTTTCGTGAGGAAGCCTCAGGTAAACGATGTGATCAAGATCCGGTTGTTTTGTTGTAGTCCGTTTTCCCTTGCAAAAAACACTATAAAATGACATTTCTTGTTCTAATATAATCAAATTTCAAGAACCCCTTGCAAAAAATAAGGTAAAGTGGACATTCGCGCGCGCAAGACGAAATCCTTCCAAAAGCTTAGTGTTCGGAAAGATTTTAACATAAAAACATAAAAAACCAATGGTTTTTCAACAACAAAATGTCAAAATCTCATCCCGCGCGCTCTTGCGGATTCGTAGGAAACCCAACACTTTTCCAACATTTCTGTCAAACGGGCTTTTGCGAGCAACTTTTTCGAACTTCTGCGACAACGGTTGCGCACCTGCCAGGGCCATCATCCCTGTCAAATAATACCATGCGGGACACATTCGTTTTTTCTTCGCGCGCGCACGCCGTCGTCGTCGGCCGCGGGGCCCTGAATAGTAGCCACGGTCGTCCGCATGCCACGAAGTGAAGTGTCCGAACGTCATAGGGCGGGAAGCTGGGTGTGGGTGGTGGCGAAGAGTCGTTTGGAAATTTGGTAGAGCTTGAACCGGCCCCCCCACAAAGTGGGGGTATTGCCCGCCTCCTATGAAAACCCTGGCACTGGTGAGAACGGAGTGTCCCCACGTGCTAGTAATTGTTGTTGTTGTTGTTGTTGTTGTCGTTGTTGTTGTTGTTGTTGTGGTTGTTGTTGTTGTTTGTTGATTGTTGTTTGTTGTTGTTTGTTATTGTTGTTAATGTTGTTGTTGTTGTTGCTGCTGCTGTGGTTGTTGTTGTTGTTGTTGAGACGATGACGGGACGAGACGAGAACAATGACGATGACGATGGCGATAACGATGATGATGATGATTATGATCATGATGCTGTTGATGATGATGTAGTTGGTGATGATTATGATTCTGCTGATACATATGATGCTGTTGTTGATTATGATGATGATGGTGGTTGTGCGGATGATAACTGTGGACGAGTAAGTGAATGAGGAGGCGGAGGAGGCGGAGGCGGTGGTCCTCCACCTCCACCTCCTCTTCCTCCTGCTTCTCCACTCACTCTTCCTTCTCCTCCGCCTCCTGTATCCTCCTCTTCAGCTTCTCATCCTCCGTCCTTTCTCCTCAGATATACTTCCTCTGTGTCGCGCCGTCAGACGTGTCGGTAAGGCTGGCCAGGCGTATCGCCTGAGGGCGCTGCCTTATAAACAAACATGGGGCTCTCGACTGAGAGCTGCGCGCGTTCGCCTCAAAAGTTTGCAGCAGCTACAACGATGGAGGGCGGTTCGTTTCTAGTATGGGGCTCTCGCCTTTGCGCCGCGCGCATCTGCCTTGAAAGCTCTGAACCGGTAAGTGCGAGGGCGGAGGGTGCTCCGTTTGCAAGATGGGGCTCTCGCGTGATGCTTCCCAGCACCAAGATCGAGCAAGCGGAGGTGTGATGACATGGAAGCAGCTGCAACATGTAACCTCCAAGCGCCAGGATCTAACGGCTGCACGGGCGGAGGGCGGTTCTTGTCTCGAACGGAGGCCGACGCGTGACACTCCCTCGCGCTCCTGGCCAGGGCGTGAGAGGTCTTGTAGCGACGGATCTAGGGCGGTTCCATTTCTGAACGAGAACGTCGCCAGGCACGTCGTTGAGCCTTGTAGTCCTACGTTCACCAGCCACCAAACCACCCCAACCCAACCCGAAGGCTCAGATTTACCCTCGATTTCCAGTGGGGGGGGGGTCGGGAAACATCGAAAAAACTCGTGTGGAACCCTTACCCCCCCACACCCGAAATTCGGGTCTTCGGGTTGGGTTGGGGTTGTCTGGTAGGTAGTCATACGTCATTGAGCCTTCCGCTCAGCGCGCCGGAGGCGTGCGAGGCGGGCCCTCCTCGAGCCCGGGCTCCCGCCCGAGCGGCAGGCCCGCGGGGCGCTGCTGGCAGTGAAGAGAAGGGCCTGTGGGACTCGTGACGCGCGTCGTGCTGTGCATCTGGACTCAAGGGGCAGGAGGAGGAGGAGGAGGAGGAGGAGGAGGAGGGGGAGGCATGGGGAGGAGGGCGGATGAGGAGGAGGGGTCGGATGAGAGGAGGAGTAGGAGGGGAGGGAGGAGGTGAGGATGAGGGGAGGAGGAGGGGGAGGAGGGTGAATGAGTGTGGAGGAGGGGTATGAGAGGAGTGGTAGTCTGATTAGGTATGGATTTACGTCATTTCTTATGTTGTATTGGTAAGTAGTTACGGCTAGGTTCTTTTCTGTTCCGTACGACCCGGGGTTTACCCCATCCGTCTTTGGTCTTCGAGTGTCCCAGCTCCCGATTTTCCTCAGGTCTCTTCCTTACGTCTATAACTCCCCCTTCCTTTTGTGGCAAAAGAACGACCTCCTCTGGGAGCGGAGGTGTGCACTCGAAGCTGCGCGATACTCCGCGCAGGCCAGAAACGCCTTCCACACAGAAGCAGAAGCACTGGTCCAAGCCACGCAAATCGCCATGCTTCTTTTTAGGTTTCCTCATGTGCAACGACGGGTTCTGGCCGACCAGAACGAGGGCTCCGGGGAAAACAAGACACGTGGGACTTGTGACGGGGGGACCACGGGACGGGAGGGCGTGGTTTTGTTTGCTCTGGTCCTCCTCCTCGTCCTCTTTCCACGGCTGGCCGCCAGTCCACCCCTCGCCAGGCCCAGAGGGACCCGGGGCCCCCCCAGGAGTCCCCAGAGCTCCGAGGTCGCGACTTTTGCTCGACGCGGTCCCTCGGAGGTCTCGATCCACCTCCTGTCGGCTCGTCCACTCCTCCAAGTCCTCCTCTCTCCTCCCTCATCCTCTCTCTTCTTCCCCCCCCTCTCCCTCCTCTCTCCACTGCGTCTTAGATTTTCTGACTCCCTCCATCAGAAATCCGGGGCGCAGTGGCCGCAGTTGACGTGGACACCAGTTTGGCCTCTAGTGAGGCCAGATGTTTTATCCACATTCGCTGAGTCTCGGGCTTCTTGGTGCCCCTCCCTCGTATGGACATCAGAGTGCGGGGGCCCGAGCGGCCTGACTTCTTCTCTGCGCGCGCGTGGTTGGATGGAGGGCTCGAGCACATGGGTGCGGTACACGGTGGCGATATTTTTTGTAGTAGCACATGGGGGCAGTTCTCCGGGGCAGTACTTGGGGGAAATACGTGGATGCAGTATTTGCTTTCCCCTCACTCTTACCTGCAAGCGCGGGACGCTTCGTCAATCTGGCCCGCGCCTCCGCCCGGCAGAGGATCGGGCTCTTCCTCTGCCCGTTCGCCAGCATACCGCGCCAGATCGACGCGCTCCTTGTCGCGTGGGCCGCCGCCGACGGCGGCGCAGCGTTCGTGCCGCCCGCGACCGTGCTGGCGGACGCCCGCGAGTTGTCGGAGAAGCTCGCGGGGGTGCTCGCGCTGTTCTGCTCCGAGGCGCCCGCCAGCCTTGAACCGGCATGCCCCTCACACGCTTTGTGGCCACATAGGGAGCTCCACCGAAGGCCCCAGAGGTGACGCTCGCATGCGGTTCCCACACCCAGCACTGCGCTTCGTGGCCCCACAGTGAGTTCCATCGAAGGCACCAGAGGCGTTCGCATGCGTCTCCCCAAGCCAGCGTAGTGTTTCGTGGCCCCATAGGGGGCTCCACCGAAGGCCCCAGAGGCGATGCTCGCACGTATTTCCCCAAGCCAGCACAGCGTCTCGTGGCCCCATAGGGAACTCCACCGAACGAACGACCCCTCCGCCCGAGCCCTGGGCTTCGGCACCTTCTCGCCTGCAGTGCGAGGCCCCCCTAGGTCGACCTCTCCGCCCAGGGGCCAACAGGGGCACTTCGGCCACGACCGCGGGGGAGCCGCAAGACCGGCGAGCCCTTGCCTTGCGGCACCGTCGGACAGACAAACCAAAAACGGGGTGCCTTCTCTCAGCTCACCCTGCACCCTGCCCAGACCCCCGAAGTCGTGGTTCTTTTGCAGCCTGGACCCCCGGAGCTCCCGACACCCTTTCCCATCAGGAGCGGCCAAGAGGGGGGTGAAGGCTAGGGGGGGGTGGATATCATGGCGTGGGCCATGATATTTTCTCAGAATTCGTGGCCCCCCTTCTTATTTCATTACGTCCCTGGCCCCCTGCCCCTGGGCCGAGCACATGCCTCGGGCCACGATTTGTGCACCCCCCTCTTGGGCGCCCCCCTCTTGGCCGCCCCCGACCCCGGGCCTCGCTCTCCCTCGGCAGTCGTTCCTCGACGGCCCTGGGGCCTGCCAGGGGCACCCGGGAGCCGAGCACGGCCGCAGGCCCTGCGCCGCGACCTCTCGTGCTTGCCACCGCGCGAGGGGGCCCGGGCCCCGGGGGGTCCTAAAGCTCCACCCCTCTTGGACAGGAGGCGGAGGAGGAGGAGGAGGAGGAGGAGGAGGAGGAGGAGGAGGAGGAGGAGGAGGAGGAGGAGGAAGGAGGAGGAGGAGGGGATGCGGAGGAGGAGGAGGAGGAGGAGGAGGAGGGAGGATGGAGGAGGAGGAAGGAGGAGGAGGAGGAGGAGAGGAGGAGGAGCGAGGAGGAGGAGGAGGAGGATCAGGAGGAGGAGGAGGAGGAGGAGGAGGATCACGCCCCGGGCTGCCCTCCCGCCTGAGGGCAGTCCAGCCGCGGCCACGGGGAGCCCGGCCGGGGCCGCCCCCTCGGGGCGAGGGCTCTCCTGCCCCGTCGGAGGGCCGACCCCGCCCACGCCCTGCCCCGCCGGCAAGGCCCAGGTCGCCCCCGGGGGGGGCGCGAAGACGGTCACGCGATCGCGCGTCGCGGCCCGGGCTGGAGAGGCTGCCCTTCTCCAGGGGCGCGTCGCGGGGGCGCGAGGGCGCGAGGAGAAGCGCGCATCGCGCATCGCGGAGCGGGATGCGAGAGCTCAGGCGAGCTGGAAGGTCGACCCCCCCCCCAAGATCTCGCCCGGAGCGCATCCTGGCCGGGACTTCGGGGCGGACCCCGCCGCGGCGACCCGGGACCTCCGGAAGGCCCAGGAGGGGCCGGAGGCGCCCGAGTCCTGCGAGGCTGGCCAGACCACTCCCCCGGCCCTGGACCGCCTGGAGAAGGCCTCCCCCCAGAGCGCGAAGCCGAGGATAACGGATTGTGATGAGACGAAGCCAGAATCGAGACAAAGTCGGACCGATATGCATCGGAAATCTCAGAGAATCGGCCGGTTTGGAGGATGTATCGGGCGCCGCGGCCGGTTCAGAACGTTCTGGAAGGCTCTGAGAGCGTTCCGGAGCGCTTTGAAACGGATTTGTCTTGATTCTAGGCCCGTCCTACGTGAGTGGACACCAGCCGGTCCCGCCCGGAGGTTCTTCTGCTCGCGGGGCACGTCCAGCCCCTCGAGCTTTTTTTGGGACCTCGCGACCCGAAGACATGACGGCAAGCGGGTCGCCTCGACTTCTTCGATCGGCGTCGGACGTGTTCGGGTCGAGGGTGCGCAGGGGGAGGGCGGGTTCAGCCCGAATTTCGGCCAAGGAGGCCGCCAAGAATACAGGTCGGATCACCCCGAGGATTGCTAAGGGGAAAGGGGCGCTACGGGTGGACGCCAATTCGGGTTTACGAGTGGGTTACAGGTGCCCCGAGTGGCCTGGGGCGGGGGTGGTGGCCACGCTGAGACAGCGGCGGCGCCAGAGGCGCCTCCTGGGGCGTCCGGCGCAGAGCCGAGGAATCCGCGCGGACCGTCAACAGGAGTGTGCGTCTCGGCCGTCTGTTTCTCCAGCTTGAAGCCCGCTTCATGCCTCTCCCCTTTGGCAGCCTCCGCGGCCCTCCAAGCAGGTGGACCTGGGGCGCCTGGACGGCGCGCTGGCGCGCGTCGCGGAGCCGCCCCTGCAGGGGCTCTTCGCCCGCGCGGCCGGCGCGGCCGGCTCCGAAGAGGCCCGCCGCCAGGGCGTTGCCCAGACCCGCGGCCTGGGTGCCGTGCCCTGGGGATCTCGAAGGCCTCTCGAGGGACGCTCGGGGGCCCCCCAAAACGGTGTGGTGACCACCGCGTGGTGAGCCCGTGGGGAGTCGGGGTCTCTGCGCGGTCTTGGGACTCGGGTCGTTCTCCGAGGCTGCCTCGGGCGACTGGGGTCTCCAGGGTCCCAAAGCTGTGTGTGTTTGTGTGTATGTGTGACGGGCCAGGCGGTGAGGTCTTGGGGGATTCCGAGGTCACCACGCGGTCCGTCACCACATGGGTTGGGGGCCCCGAAGACACACAAGAGTGACCCTTTGCCAGAGTGACCTTTGCCTAACGTAAGGGGAGATAGGCTTTTCGGGGCAAGGTTTCGACTGTGCTCTGGAAGTTCTCGAGTCCCGGGATGGTTTCCATCAGCTGCGCTTCGTCGAGAGCGGTCCGGGGGTGCCAAGATCGTCCCGAATTGCAGCGTCAGTCAGAAAAGAGTTATGACCCGAAAGCGGGGAGGCAACGTTAGTGGTGATAGGCTCAGGGGGGGGTATCGACCCCCAGTTGCGCATTGATCGCCGATAGAACAGCCCACGAACATTCGGATGCGCTATCGGGGCCCATCTCTGATCTATCGGCGAAGCATCCGGTTTCAGGTCGATGCGTCCCATCCTGAGCCAGTCCCTACCCATCTGCGATCCCTTCCCCTGTGACCCGTTTTTCACCCCGCGTCGTCGTATGACCAGAGCCCGAACATAGCACGACACCGTCCGTCGTCATTTTTTCGGGGGTTGCTGAAGGTGCCCCTGGCCCAAGGTGCCCCCAGCTTTTCGCTGAGTTTTGGCGCCTCTGGGGCCCCCATGAGCCTCGTGAGGGGTGCTCTGGAGGCCGTGGGGGCCTCCTTAGAAGTCCTGGGGGTACCTTGGGCCAGGGGCTCTTCTAGCAACACCCGGTTTTTTCACGACGCGAGGAGGCCTTGGTATCCGCCGTCCCCCCAGGGTCCCCGGGGCAGGGCCCCGGCAGGCCGCGGGCTCGTGGCAATCTTGCCCTGGCGGCGCAGTCAGGAGGCCGCCGCGCTCGGCGCCGCGGCGCGGGAGCTGGTCGGCGGATGGGGCCGCCGGCCGGTCACCGTGCCTGTCCTGGCCGGGCCCACCTTGGGCCCAGCGTCGACGTCTTCTCGAGCGGCGAGCTCTGTTCGGGCCGAACGAAAGGGGGGGATAGAGAAAGGGGGGGTTACGAAAGTTGCTGCATGCAGCTGGTTTCGCCCTCACCGAGGGGCCCATTCCTCGATACATAGCCGCTTCCGGCGCCGGGAGGCGCCCTCGAAATCAGCTACGTGAGCCGATTCTCAACTCCCCCCTTTGCTATCCCCCCCTTTCGCCCGGCCAGAGTCGACGCCTTCTCGAGCGGCGAGCTCTGTCAGAGAAGAGAGGGCGTCGAGCGCGTTCCACTGCTCGCAGAGTGCCTGCTCGCAAACTTCCGAACTATACAGGTCTTTCTCTATGTCATCTATCGTAAATCCCCCGCCGCGGATCCAGGCAATTTGCGAGTAGTTGATCTGCGAGTAGTGGAACGCGCCTGTCCAGAGAGGGCGTCGCGAGCATCAACTTTCGATGTTCCGTGCAGATTTGTTGCCCGGGCCTGCGCCTGGAGCCCCCTGGCGGCGTGCCTGGCGCCGCCCCTGGCGCGCGCCGCGCGCCAAGAACTCAGGGCGCAACTTCAAAGATGAATGTTCGAGCGGCGAGCGCAGATCTCCCGCGAGGTGTTCTTTGTTCGATGCGGGCGTTTCTCCTCGATTTCGTCCTGTGCCCCAGGGGCCGTCACAACTAGACCCGGGAAGAGAAACTACCCCGGGGAAGGAAGGGGTCGGAACCTTTTGGGGCCTCGGATTGAAAGTGTCAGCTGGGTGGCTGGCCGGGAGAGCTGCGTTCAGAGCTCCAACGTGTTGGCAAAAACCAAGGCGGAGACTTTTCGCAGCTTTCGGCCTTGGGGGCCCTTGCAGGGCTCCAGGACCGTCCAAAAGACGGCCCGGGATGAGAAGCCGGCCTTGGAGAACGGGCCGGGATTTCCGTGGACCCCGTTTTGAGCAAGGGCAATATTTTGGATCCCTGGGTAGATATACGCCGCCCCTGGCCATGCCCACCCCGGGCCCTGGGTCGGTGTACGATCTCGTCGCCACGTACTTCGCTGCGCGAGCAGGGTGGTGGCGCGAGTGGGGGCGGCCTTCTGAGATCACTGCTCCTCCTCCCTGGAAGGTTTGAGTGCGTGAGGGGGCTCCACCGAAGGCCTACATGCCAGCGCTCGCATGCGCCCACGGCGCCCATTTTGGCACACCCCTCACACGTTTGGTGGCCCCATGCGGAGCTCCACCGAAGGCCCAAATGCGAGCGCTCGCATGCGCCCACGGCACCACTTTGGCGCACCCATCACACGTTTCGTGGCCCCATAGGGAGCTCCACCGAAGGTCTAAACACCAGCGCTCGCATGCACCTACCGCGTCCATTTTGGCACACCCCTCACACGTTTCGTGGCCCCAAATCGCAACGCTCGCATCCCCTCCGCACCCATTTTGGCACACCCCTCACACGTTTCGTGGCCCATAGGGAGCCCCACCGAAGGCCCAAATGCCAGCGGTCGCATGCGCCCGCCGCACTACTTTGGCACACCCCTCACACGTTTCGTGGCCCCATAGGGATCCACCGAAGGCCCAAATGCCAGCGCTTGTATGCGCCCACCGCATCCATTTTGGCACATCACCTCTCACACGTTTCGCGGCCGCATAGGGCCATCCACCGAAGGCCCAAATGCCAGCGCTCGCATGCGCCCACCGCTCCCATTTTGGCACACCCCTCACACGTTCCGTGGCCCCATAGGGAGCTCCACCGAAGGCTCGATCACCAGCGCTCGCATGCGTCCACTGCGCCCATTTTGGCACGTCCCTCCCGTTGGTGGCGTCTTGGAGGCCTCTCTGGCCGTCTGGCCTCTTGGGCCGTTTTGGGGCCATCTTGGAGGCCACTTGTGCAATCCTGGGGCGATCTTTGGGGGCTCTTGGGCCGTCCCGGGCCGTCGGAAGGCCGACAAGAAGCAAATGTCCAAATCCTTCAAACAACTTATGAACATCACTGATTTTGGCCTCTTCGGGCCTTCCTGGAGGCCCATTTGGGGGCCGTCTTGGACCGTCTTGGGCCATCTTCGAGCCATCTTGGGCCGTCTTGATGGCCTCCTGGCCCGTCTGACGCCGTCGGAAGCCGTCTTGGGGGCCTTTCTGGGCCCACTTCCGGCCCTCTTTGGGTGTTCCAGGGGCATCTTGGAGGCCTCTTGGGCCGTCTTGTGGCCTTCGTGGGCCATCTTGGGGGCCTCTTGAGCCGTTGTGGGGCCATTTTGGAGGCCTCTTGGGCGATCTTGGGGCGATCTTTGGGCGCTCTTGTGCTGTCTCGTGCCGTCGGGAGGCAGAGAAGACGCAAATGCCCAACTCCTTCAAAAACCTGAGGAGCATCACTCTTGGGGGCCTCTTGGGCCGTCTTGGAGACCTCTTGGTGGCCTCTTGGGCCGTCTTGGGTCATCTTAGGGCCATCTTGGACCGTCTGGATGGCCGCCTGGCCTATTGACAGCGTCGGAAGCCATCTTGTGGGCCTTTCTGGGCCCACTTGCGGCCCTCATGGGGTGCTCCAGGGCCGTGTTGGAGGCCATCTAGGGCGTCTTGGAGGCTCTTGGGCCGTCTTGGGGCCCTCGTGGGGCCGTCTTGGGGGCCTCTTGGGCCTCTCTGGGGCCATCTTGGAGGCCACTTTGGCGATCTTGGGGCGGTCTTTTGGGGCTCTTGTGCCGTCTCGGGCCGTCGGGAGGCCGAAAAGAAGCAAATGCCCAACTCCTTTAAACACCTAAGGACCATCAATGATTTTGGCCTCTTCGGGCTGTCTTGGGGGCCTCTCGGGCCGTCTTGGAGACCTCTTTGATGCCTCTTGGGTCGTCTTGGGCCGTCTTGGAGGTTTCGTGGGTGGACTTCGAGGCACCTTGGACTCGCTTGGACAGTCTCGGAGGCCACCCTGGACCATCTTGGACCATCTAGGGCGAACTTGGAGGCCATCTTCGCCGTCTTGGAGGCCATCTTGGGCCATCTTGGAGCCATCTGGAGCAGAAAAAACCTTTGGAGCCACCCCGCCCGGCGCCTTCCGGGTTGCTGGCGGGACGGGCCGAATCCCCAGGGGGAGTTTTTTTGTGGAAAAGGACCCGAACCAAAATCGGTAGGGTAGAGCACGCCAGGCACCCTTGTGGCAAGATCATAGGGGGCGGCGGATCGAAGACGCCTCCTGCGAATCACCGCCGCCCCCTGCCTTCTACAATCGCCCATGTGGCCGAGCGTTGTGGCAAGAGCTCCGCCAAGCTATCGGACCATGTGTTCCCCCAACTGTTGTGGGAACCCTTCGGGGAACACTTGAGGGAGGATGGGGGCAAGATCAGGAGGAGGAGGAGGAGGAGGAGGAGGAGGAGGAGGAGGAGGAGGAGGAGGAGGAGGAGGAGGAGGAGGAGGAGGAGGAGGAGGAGGAGGAGGAGGAGGAGGGTTCCGATCACGCGGCCGTTGTCAATCTGCCCCGGGACGCGGCCCGAAGCGGCCCTGCCTGCGCAGGGCCGCGTGCAGCGCCCGACGGCACGGCGCTCCGAGGAAGATGCAGCGTGCGACGAGGGACGCCAGTCGCTTCTGCCCCGGCTTTGGGCTGGGTTGGGTCAGGGCGTGGGGGACTGACGGCTGGGTGGGGGGGGCACCGCGCGCGCAGCGCCTCGCAAGAGAGAGCGCCGCGACCCCGACCCCTTCCCGCGAATCGGGCGCACTGGCAAGTCAGCGCGGCTGAAGCGCGATTCGATTGCAGGCAGAAGAACGAAGGGAACCAGCACGGCGACGAGGAGCGCCCGCCCCAGACCACCTCCCAGCGGAGGCCCAGAAGGCGAGGCGGATTCAGCCCCCACGACGAGTGAAAGGCCCCCCAGTCGCAGCGACCAGGATTTCGAGGCAAGCCCGCACGGGGCGACGAGCACGGCACGGCCGTCGGCCCGTGTCAGTCCCACGAGCGTCGAGGCGCCGCTGCACCTCGGCCCAGGAGCCCATCCTCTTGACCGCGAGCTCCTTGGGCTGCCCGACAGGGAGCGCCTCGAGGAGGGCCGTGCCCGTGAGATTGTCCCTGTGCCTGCTCCTCCTGTCCTTGGCCCTCAGGGGCACGTCGAGCTCAAGGCCCTTGTTGAGGATGTCCGCGGCCTCCGAGATGTCAGTCACCTCTGCTCCGCCGAAGTCTGTGTTGGAGGCGCCGCTGCACTGCTCTTGCCACCAGTCTGACAGGTTGTCGGCGCACTTAGGACCTGTTCCACCCGTTCCTCTTCACCACCGGTTTGATCTCCTCCTCCTGCCCCTGCTGGTGGCGCAGCTTGCTGGCCAGCTCCTCTTTCTGAAGTTGCTGCTGGCGGAGCGTCTCCGCTGGAGCCCACTCGCGCATTTCCGATTGCGAAGGCCTTGCGGCCGGTGCCGCCGACCCTGAGAACGACGAGGATGAAGACGAGGGCGGGGCAGGGGGAGGAGGGTGAGTGGGAGGTGGAGGAAGGGTGGAGGAGGTGGATGAGGGAGGGGGAGGGGGGAGAAGGATGTGGAGGAGAAGCAAGAGGAGGAGAAGGAGGCAGAGGAGAGCAGGAGGAAGGGGAGCAGAGGGGGGGAGGAGGAGGAGGAGGAGGAGGAGGAGGAGGAGGAGGAGGAGGAGGAGGAGGAGGAGGAAGAAGAGGAGGAGGCCAGAGGCTTTCTTGGGATAGCCTGGGGCTCTCTTGAGGCCGTCTTGGGCCGTCCAGGGCTCCTTTTGCGTCGTCTCGAGGCACTCTTGGAGGCCTCCTGGGCAATTTGGGGCCCTCCTGGGCTGTCTTGGGGCATTCTTGGGGGCCTCTTGGGCCGTCTTGGAGGCGTCTTGGGCCATCTTGGGGCCCTCTTCGGCCGTTAGGGGACCCTCATGGGGGCCTCTTGGGCCGTCTCGGGGCGATCTTGGGGGGCCTCTTGGCGCGTCGGGAAGCGGAAGAGGCAAGAATGCCAAAATCTTTCAAACTACCCTGGCGATGTACCCAACCCTTG